TGCTGCATGCTAGTAGAGTCAGGTACACGATAGGAAAACACGACTTCCTGGGGCGAAACTTAGGTAAAACACACCCCGACTAGAGAGAACATCTACCTCAAGGTAAAAAAAAGCGAACAATATACCCCATGCCGAGAGGGATTCTATCAAAGGGGCCCCAAGGGAGATTCCATATGCTGATAGGAATAGTGGTATAGAACTAACAAGCCTCCAGAAGGCTCACTAACAGTGCAATGGGCAATGTCAATATATGCCCAAGGTAGTCTAGATAGTGTCCAGGTCTCTCTTCTTGTTTCTGAAGGAGTGAAAGAGTATAACATAGCTGTAACTTAGTGTTGTTTTTGAACCAACCTCTTCTCGTATATTTAGCAGGGCCAAGCACCAAACTCTGCATAATTGCTCTAATAATTACGTTCCCCAACAACCATTCGGGGCACTGAAAAAAAGAAATGAAAAAGAAGAAAAAAATGAATAGCACTGATGATACTCACCTCTGTGGAATTTTTCCGCAAGATCAGGAGAAGGAGTTTTCAGGTATGGATTGGTGCCCGGATGCTATCTTGATAACAAAAATACAATAGCAGATCTTATAGAGTCAGAAAAGTGCTTATACAACACCGGAGTCCCCCCTCCCGGATGAGATTGCAGATTGTGGATTCCCAAGAGTTTTTCTAATACTATACAGTGCACTAGTACAGCCTTGTAGCTTAAGAATCGATGCAGATATCTGTCCGAGGTTAACCTATCCCGTAAGGGCTGCAAATACAAGACTCTTATAACAATTTAAGAATTTCATGTTGGCATGATATTGTGAAACTGGCTAGTCTAGTGCGTAAGCAGAGGGGGGAAGGAAACCACTCATCTTTAATATGGCTTCCCAAGGCGAGGACCAACGAACCTTAAACTCTCTTTCCCAAGAGCTTGTCGCGAATTCCAACTCTTTCAACCAGATAGGCCTCGCTAGCTCAATCGGTAGAGCGTGAGACTCTTAATCTCAAGGTTGCGGGTTCGACCCCCGCGTGGGGCTATGTTGTTACTTTTTTTACATCCGCATGTGTTATTAGCCCAAGGGATTCTCTGCGTCGCCCGGCCTGTGGCGCAGTATGGAATCAAACAGCGCGGCAGCCGCGGTGTCAATATTGTGCGTGGACAATAGTAACCGAAACAACAACGACAACAAATGCTCTCATCTCACAGTCATGAGAACCCCATATATCCAAATACGCCAGCATCAACCAACAAAAATAATTAAAAATAATTTAAATATAGAGCTGTAATTAGTACTTAGTATATTATATGTAGATAAAATTAACTGAGCATAAAAGACACATGGCATCCACATCTCTCTACAAACATTCATCTTGAACCTTACCCAAAGCAATTACTCTAGCTTAATCAGTTACCAGATTCCAATCCAATTGAGCATGTATGATCTTTAGTCAGAAAGAAGCTTCAGAGATATTATTCTAACTTAATCTTACATTTGATCTACTCTATATGATCAAAAATGGTCTAGAGTAGGCCATAACTTATTACAAACTCTTTGACCTTAAGGCTTTCTTTTCCCCCACAGGCTTAATTATCAGTAGAATAGAAGCAGTAATTAAGGAAATAGATAGCATAGTAAATGCTGATTTCTACAAATACATTTTTTATTTATTTATTTTGGTTATCAGGATTATGGGATTGATGGGGGGTGGTAGTACTATCATAACCAAAAGTTTTTCTGTTGCATCGGTTTCGCTTACTTTTGTCCACCTACAATACGTTGTGCAGGCAGACCGTGAAGGGAAATGCTGCCGTTGCGTGCTTCTACTTCGACTTCGCCGATCAGGAAGAGCAATCCCCAGCTGCGATCCTAGGCTCGATGCTGAAACAGGTTGTTAGTGGACTGGGCAAGGTTCCGGAAAGAATAGTCAAAGCTTTTCGGAACAAGGAGAAGGTCATTGGTGGACAGAGTCTCTCACTCGAAGAAATTGTCGAGTTCTTGCAAGATATCTCAACCGCACATTGTACATTTATATGTCTTGATGCCCTAGACGAGTGTCCACCAGGATATCGGATGGAGCTCCTTGGTTCACTCAACCAAATCTCCCAAAAGTCCCCAAGCGTGCGGATATTTCTAACTGGGAGACCACATATCAAGGGCGAGATTGACAAGCATCTTGCTAGGAGGGCAGCAACTAGACCCATAACACCCACCAAGAATGATATCATCATATTCCTCCAAGCCAAAATGAAAGCAGATACGATTCCGGACGCAATGGGCGAGAGTTTAGAGGAGGAAATTATAAAGAATATTCCCGAATCATTTTCGGAAACGTAAGTAACAAACAGGATATATAACAATCTTAAAGTCGTATACTAATAGATTTTTTCTGCCTAGATTCCTGCTTGTCTTCTTGAGTATTGAGGCCATCTTACAAGCGGTGACCATATCTCGAAGGAAACAAAAGCTTAACACAATGAACAATAGCTTAGATTTAGGAGGCCTGTTCGAAGCGATGGTGGGAAGGATAAAGGCCCAGGGTGGGGAGAAAGCAAGGATCGGGATGGCCGTTTTGATGTGGATCTCCTATTCAAGGCGGCCTTTACAGGTGGATGAGATATGTCATGCTATAGCAATCCGGATAGGGTCAAATAATCTCGATAACGATGATATCCCTACACTATCGACCTTACTGGACTGTTGCCAAGGACTTGTCACCTTGGATAAGGGTGCCTCGACTGTTAGGTTGGTCCATTTTACCCTCCAAGAGCATCTTCGCACACATCCCGACCTCTTTGACAGAACCCACTCAGCGATGGCGGAAATCTGCTTGACATACCTCAACTCCCAACACATCAAGGATCTTCCAGCTGGCCCGTCACTTGACCCCCGAGACACACCCTTCCTTGAATATTCTTCTTTATATTGGGGAACGCACATGCGAATGGAGATCTCAGATCGCGCAACAGCATTGGCTCTCCAGCTTCTTTGTCGGTTTGATAGTCACATATGTGCCAAATCCCTTTGGAAGTCTATCAATTATGGATTTCCCTTCGATTATTACTCTGAGGATAAGCCGTTTTCCGCACTACACTGTATCTCGTACTTCGGCATCTCCGAAGTCACCAATACTTTGATCCGGATGAACAGATGGGATATAAATGAAAGAGATAGTGCGGGTATGACGCCACTTATATGGGCTGCAAGATATGGATATGAAGAAGTGGCGCGGTTACTTGTACGAAAAAGACACCTTCAACCTGACCAGCGGGACGCGAATTATGGCCGAACAGCACTCTCGTGGGCTGCTGGAAATGGACATGAGGGAGTTGTGAGGTTATTTCTCGGACCACAATTTGTCAATACTAGGAGCGTGAGTCGACGGTGGGGGAAGATGGCACGAGTAGTAGATCTCCTGTTTGGTGGGAGATATATCAACCCGGATAGCCCGGGTGAATACCGCCGAACGCCACTTTCCTTGGCTGCCGAAAAAGGCCACGAGGGAATAGTGAAGCTACTGCTGGAGCAGAAAGATGTCAACCCCGATACCCCAGACACGACGTATGGCCGAACCCCGTTCTCGTGGGCTTCCCAGAATGGCCATGAGGGAGTAGTGAGGCTACCGCTGGGGCGGGAGGATGTCAACCCTGACACCCGAGACATGAAGGAATAGTGAAGCTACTGTTGGAGCAGAAAGATGTTAACCCCGACACCCGAGACACAGCATTTGGCCAAACATCCCTCTCGTTGGCTGCCGTGAAGGGCCATGAGGGAGTAGTGAAGCTATTTTTGGGGCGGAAAGATGTCAACCCCGATACCCTAGACACGACGTATGGCCAGACCCCGCTTTTTTGGGCTTCCCAGAATGGCCATGAGGGAGTAGTGAAGCTACTGCTGGAGCAGAAAGATGTCAACCCCGATATCCCAGACACGATGTATTGCCGAACCCCGCTCTGGTGGGCTTCCCAGAACGGCCATGAGAGAGTAGTGGAGCTACTGCTGAAGCGGAAAAATGTCAACCCCAGTAGCTCCAGTAAACCCGGTCAAACACCGCTCACGCTACCAGCCACACACAAACATGATAGAATCGAAGACCTACTACAGGCCCAACTCTCCCAACGCAGGTGGTATGGTGGGCTGACAAACTTCACCGCGAATCAACAGAGAAGAAACGAACTTCAGCCATGACAACAACACTCCCCCACCAGCCCCTCACTCTCATTAAAACCAAGAAAAAAATCGGAAATATAATTACATAGTAGAATACATAGCAAAAGTTCATATTTGAACTAGAGAAATCTCTTTATGTAGTGTTGAAAGGGCGGGGTGATAAGGATGGTTGCGTTGCCGTCAATCGTTAGTTAGCGGTTAATTTGGTCAACGTACCATAATTCCTCGCCTTGTTCCCTGGAATTTGTCACCTTGCCTCATGGAAATCGTCATGTGTTGGTATTGGTAGTTTCAGACGAATATGGGTTTTGTGGGAGGCAGTCTGAGATGTTTATTTATATTCTGCTTTCAAATTTTTCCTCCGGTGTTTTAGGGATTAAGTTATGGTTTGCTTAGGCATGATACCTTAAAAAGCGGAATAACTGAGAATTTTGGTAGGGTGTTAGAGTTGCCCCTCCTAGTACCGGTAAGGCCTGGTTCTATCTTTTTTGTTGCTTATCTCAACTGTGGCAGTTGTGAGCAGCAAGATAGCTCTACGGTACATTAGCTAGTTTCCTAGCCCCAACGCAACCCAACGCAACCCAAAGGAGGAAATTCTGGACGTCACGTCCTAGCCTTACTGTACTGTATTACCAAAAGTCCCAACAACCAAAAGCCGATGACCTCACTAGGAGTATCCACCTGCATCATTTACTACCAGCACTCCCATCGGAAAAACAATTAAATGAAGAAAGAAAGAAAAAACCCACCCCAGAAAATAGACCAAGCCCTCGTACCTCTCTCGCCCATACATAGGAACTAGAAATAAAAATTTAATAATATAAAATAAAAAGAGAAACTGAACCCAACGTGGGGGTCGAACCCACAGCCTTCAGATAGCTGATCCAAACCGGTGAATTAGAAGTCTGACGCGCTACCATTGCGCCAGTCGGGTGGCTTTGTTGACGCAGGGCTGAAACTGCAATACATATACCTTATCTCGAGGTGTGACCGACAAAATTGAAGCGCGGTTCCTCCAACCAGCCAAGCAGTGGGGTGACTCTCGAGGGGAGGGAGGAGGGCAGGGTGTGGTGGTTCTGGGGGTAGCTCAGAGGTTTGCTAGTACCATTTTAGAGGACTTTTTACTCCCCGGGGTCATTTTGCGTCACTCGTTTTGCTGTCCGCAACTTTTTTCTCTGCAGGAGAAAGAAGAGCTCGGGTCATGGCAGCTGGCTGAAGTTACCACGAGCCACTAAAAGCAGCAGTCAACTACCACCATTTCTGACATACATCATCCTTCCTTTGGTGGAACCCACGTTGCCATTATTGCAGCAGATATCTCACATCAACCATTTGCCCAGCCCAGCATCATAAATCCGCACCAGGAGGAGGCATAAACTAAGCAGTGTGCCGTGATCCCACAAAACTAAGCATATCCCACACAAAGCTACTACCGCCGTCTATCACCAAACAGATAAAGAGAAAGATCATAAAACACAGATAAAACAAGAATAGAAGAAAAAAGAAAAACAATTTTCATTCCATAACTAGTATGCTCCCGCCAACACATTATTCAAACACCTGCGCTCCCGGATCAGCAGATCATCCAATGACACCTTGAACGGCTTCTCCGAGCATGCCTTTCATGACGTCTACACCAATTTCCTCCGCTTCGTCAAGCATCCACTCGCCGGCTGCTTCTGCTGCCTCTAGGCCCCTCTTGCCGAGATGCTCTAACTTCTCTATGTGCCCTTGCTCCTTTTCAAAGCCTGCTCGTGCGTTAAACATTAGTTGTAGAGTAATAGCGAATACAACTACGCCGACCAGTGAGAAGAGCACTAGAAAGGCAGTCAGTTTCATGGAAGTTTGCCGGAGCTGCCATTTGCCCTCGGTTTCGAATACTGGAATATAGAATACGACGACAGTGTTGCCCATCGATGTAGTTGCTAGTTTTACAGCGGCGCCGGAGGATGGGAGAGGTGAGAAGACGAGTTTGGTGATTTGAAAGGGATGAACGTCTTTGAAAGTTTTGACTGCCTTGATTAGTTCTCCGACAAGGAATAGTTGGATGCTCCGGTCTGCACCGGCGACGGCCAGAAGGGTGCTAGTTGGCGAGAGCGTTAGGGTGTCCATGCCAATAACCGCTTTTGCCCCACTGTGTACGTTTCGTCTTGAAATAATTCTTCCCGAAGCATCGATAAGCAGCACGATGGCGCCCGAGCGACCGAAAATATTATACACAGCCACCAGCCCACGGTTGTTGGAGAAACGAACGGACCGGAAGCTACCCTTCGGTCTGTCCGAGCCCTTCCATTCCAAGGTGACAGGTTCTGGGCTCCGCTCCTCCTTCTCCGTGGATGCGATGTAGATGTCCCCCGGTGAGCAGTACACCACTCGTTTTCCGTCCTTCGATATATCCACGTCCGCAACCTCTTCCTTCCCAGGCAACCGTATCCGCCGTTTCACATTTAAGGAGGAAACATTTATAACTACAACCTCCGACGCTGAAGTCGGCGCCATCCCACTCCCGCTCGCAATAACCGCCATCTTTCCCTCCCCGTCAACACGGACTAGTCGCTGATATGTCTCTGCATCTGTCTGACTGAACAATGCATGTTTGGAAGCAAGGCTAATCTCGCCTTCTTTCGGAACATCAAAGACCCGGAAATGTTCATTCGACTTGGCTTTTTGAGAAGAGTTGATTCCAGCGAGCGCTTTGGTTCCCGATGGCGTATTCAGAGTTGAGAGCGACATGACGGCGTCTTCGTCCATACTGAGCCCGATTTCTGAGGTCACTGTCAAAGGTTTTCCTGGCTTCGTCAAGGTATCTATCAGTGTCTGTATCCAGTTAGTCCCATCCACTAGAGGCCAATTCGTAGAAATCAAGAAGAGAACCAACAATTTTGTTACCAACACCGCTACGCCCTTCGCCACCGCCGCCAGCAACGAGCAAGCGGTCGGCATCGATAAAGGATGCGCCGAACAGCGGGTATGAAAGTGTGAGCTTCTCTGAGGTAATTGAAGGTGCCATACTGTATGTATAAGGCGTTGAGTGTGGGGGAAGCCCTTCACAGCAGAAGATGGACAAGGTCAGTGCCAGGGAAGGAGAAGCTGTCGACGTGTTCCTGAAATTTGAGCCTCATGCTTGGCGGGTCAATCTCAACTGGTCACATGCAACCATGCTTTATCACTCGGAAGCCGGAATTTTCCCAGTGGGTTCTGGGTCTCGGTGGTGAATTGCGAAAAGTTTGTCGTCGGGGACCTGTAACTGTGTGGGCTCTTTTTTTTTCACCTTGCTATCCCTTCTGGGCTTCAAAATTGATCACGACTAATAGGAAAAATAAGGTTAGGTCCGCTAAGACAACACAAACTGAGAAGCTCCTTTGCTTTGCCCCGCTCTCCAAAAAGGTATTGACCTAAGGCCCTACATTTAGGGGCATTTTTTCTCCATGAAAATATAGATAAATTTTAATGGAGGGGCGTTTAGCACACACATTGAAATGACTTTTTTTTATATTCAGGCTGCCTTCAGTGACTTTCAAGTTTATTGCATAAATTTTGGCATATCAAGGTTCTTTATATAGGGGTATATTCGGCACTAAGTATGAAAGTTTAATTATGATATTTTTTTTATCATTTCCAAATTTTTATTCTATATACTTATAGGGCTAGTAGGTCTAGGCTCAGAATTGCCACATAGGAAAAAATTATATTATGATACTTCGCTTCGGAATAAAGAGTTCCCCCCCATAATTGTGGGATATTTGCTGAACACATACATTTTTTCACGCCAGAATTTTTTTTATTAGCATGCAATTTCAAACCTTTATTGCGATATATTTTTATTGCTATGATACATTCCGAACGGAGCCTGGGTCTCATTTTTTTATGGTGTTTTTTTTGTGAGATCAGCAACGCGGAAACAAAGGAACAACCTGCTACCGCAGGAGAGGTGTGCCAAGCCGCCCCTTAGGGAATTGTGGGAACTAAAAGTTCTCATAGTCTCTATGCTACCAAAACGGACAAGAAAAGAGTGTCCGGAGAGGATTTTCGTGGCACAAAGGGTTACCCGGCACCGTGATGGTGGCTGGAAAATAAGTAGGTATCATAACTCTTATATTCTTTGAAGTGCGTGTAGTGATAGGAGGTTAGGGTATTTGTGATATTATATAGGTCACGCGATAACCTAGAGCACAGATGGAAAAGAAAGGTGAAGGAAAGGAAGAAAAGCGGCAAAGGTGAAAGGAAATCTCTGACAAGGAACATTAAAATTTCGATTTATTCTATGATACCTGGATCAACAGTGCGATACACACAGGTGACCACTCGTACCGGCACTGTATGATATCATACTAAAGCCAAAATTTGGGTATATCATACCCAACTTGGACCTAACGTTCAGTAAATATTTTCTCTACTTGTGTAAAGCCTGAAATAACGCTAAAATGTTACTAAACGCTATTATTTCTGAAAAATGTCATTTTTTAAAATGGTGGCGTGCCAAACAGGGCCTGATATGGTTTCCATGATGAAGTAATAGAGAAGTGCGCTTCAATCAGGATAGTGATGGTTTCCAGCCACAGAGTTTGCCCTTGTGAGACAGATAGTCAAGCGCTGAGTGTAGGTAAATGATAGCCCTTGTATCGCTAGCTATCGGATTTGTGGAACGGTAAGTACCGTCTTGATAACTCCAAGTTGGAATACGGACTTGGTAGGAAGAGTATGGGGTGCTTGTATGGGGAGGAAGTACCAGTACTACTAGTAGTACTAGGGGGTAGCAAAAAGTCGGGCGCACCACCATTACATTTATGTGTAGACTAAACCGGATTAGGAAATTTGAGTGATAACTGGTGAGGATTTTTTGGTGATGGCAAAAAGTCGGGCGCGGTTTCACAGAGAAGCAGCTTGTGTTACCGCGCCCGAAATACCCTTACACCCGTGCACAGTGGTGCCTCGCTGCCCCGGACTTCGCTCTGCCGGATCCCCGTTGTCCCGGATGAAATCCCCTAGATTCTAACTCGTTATTCCAGATAATTCGCTGTCTTGGACTGATTCCTTGGAACACGACCATCTGGGACGGCGAGGTGCGACTGCACGGTTATTTGTCAGCTGAGCCCACAGTGTGTTTACTGATGCTCGCATTGGGCTCGCATTGGGCCGGGTGAACGAAAGCCCGGCCTTGCCATGGGGCCGAGCAAATGTATGGACACCACTGGCTGGAGTTATCTGACATTTCGAAAGACTAACCGTGCCAAGGTTGTGGCATAGCCACAACCCAAGATTGCTCGTTCGCAAACTTGGGCACCTCACTCCGCTAGGTGCCCTACAGCTCAACGCCAGATTCGGCTCAACGCCAGATTTTCGATCACCCCCGACAAACACCCCCCCCCCTCTCCACGCAACTCTTTCACAATGAGTGAGCAGTATGCCGAGATTGAAGCCAGGATTGAGCTTGCCTGTGAGAAGCTTTTGGAAAGTGAGAAGCCAAATGTTGCGGCTGCTGCCCGTGAGTTTGAGGTTCCCGAGACCCGCCTTCGAGGGAGATGGAATGGCCGTCAAGCACGAAATAAACGACTTCCTGCAAACAGAAAGCTTGCGCCAGAGGAAGAACTTGCTGTTGGGCTCTATCTTCGGCGCCTTGATGAGATTGGAACCTCTGCCCGCATTTCTATGATCACCAATTGTGCAAATAGTATCCTGCACCGAAATCACCCAAGTATCGATCCTAGCTCTCCACCACCCAAAGTTAGTTCAGCTTGGACAACTCGCTTTCTTGAGCGACATCCTGAGTTTCATGTGAGAAAACAGAAGATTTTAGAGCATGAGAGAAAGAAAGCGCACAATCCTGCAGACATATTGGATTGGTTTCTCCGCTTCAAGCATGTGATGGATACTAAAGGTATTCAGACCGAAGACGTCTATAATTTCGATGAGACAGGCTTCCGTATCGGCATC